TGATAATATCATTTTAAAACTAAACTATTGCTAAATCACCATTGTCACGCCTCTGGCGAGTTGCCTTATCACCTAAATTGTTATATTTTCGTATTTCTCATATCAAAGGATACAATTCACCCCGTAACAATATAGAATAAAATAAAACCTCTAACAAAATGTAATTTACTAAAAGTCTATCAAAATTGATAGAAAACTTGTTGGTTTAAAAAAGTTATAAAAATTGGAGGTTTTAACTGTTCGTTATTGTATTTCGTTAAATATTGATTTTATAAACTGATTTGTGATTTTCTGCGGTGTTTTAGGCTAAATTCCTTCATTTAATTTCTTCTAAAACATACCAGATAACATTCGATAATACACTCGTAATTTACGTTGATCTATTGTCTATCTTTCCGTGCGCCAGCATGAGCTTATGGATATTATGCGATGATTAAGTGTGATTTCTGTTTCAAAGATTACGCACAATATATAAATTATGAAGGTTTTTTTTATGCACAATAATAAATTTTGCTTTATGTTTATATGTATTGAAAGTTAACTAAAATACAATATTTGCAATATTATGTATATATATACTGTATATATATTATCTATAGTCATTAATTTACTATAAACTCTACGTATATTTGAGCTAAGTAAAAACCAGTAAATTATCGAATAATCTATCTTAAAACTTTCTGGTTTTTACTTGGCAACACTCATTTAGAGTTTGGAACCGAGTTTGTGTTCATATGTTAAAATGAGATTAATATATAGAACCGGGTCCAAACTCTACCGTATATTTCTAAATATTAATACAAAATTTGGTATATAGTACTTATCGTATATGCAAGCTTAATGCGTACGTAGTGGGTAGTATATCTTAATAGAAAAACTACAATTAATCTTTCTTACAAAAAAATCTAACCTGTTTTATACAAGTCTTATATTCTTCAGACTCTTTTTCAAACGCATTTATCAATGCATCACATTCTTCACTGGACTTGTTAATTAGTTGCATTAGTATTGGCTTTCCTGCTGCGAATCCAGTTCTTAAATGTCTTAATACCTTTTTAATAAAATTTGTAATAAGCAAATTGTTTTATCAAAATGAAACTTATGAGTTTAAATATTAAATATATAAATAAAAATACCAATTCTCCAAGCTTTCCGCCCCACCCCAAAGGGATTGCCTTTTGTTTGCTTTGAATATTTGAGACTTTTCCTGTTGATTGTAACATAGTTGGAATTTTTGGAATGATGTACGGGTTCACGCCTTTTAAAGCAATGAATTTCGCCGCTACAAATTCAACAAATGTAAAAATAGAACCCATTTCAAAAAAAAAAAATCAGGACTTTGAGGAGAAAAAATAAAAACACACACCAATATCAAATAAAAATGCAGTTTTCGGACCACTATTCGTTTGTTTAATCTCAAATTCCATCAACTCAATGACACCACCTTTCTTAGTCACTCTTATTATCTCACCAATAGCAAATATCCATTGTTCTTCAGTTAATGAACTCCATAAAAATCGCTGATATACGAAATCAAAAGTTTCGTCCGGAAACGGAAGTCCATGTAAAATATTGCATTCTAGAAAACCAGTATTAGGAAGAGTATCTTGCTTTTTGGGAAAGTATTGTGATACGATATCTATTCCTATGAATGTTGATGATAGATAAGTTTCCGCCATGTCACTTATCCAGGAGCCGGCTCCACAGCTTTGTTTTTTTTTTTAATTAAAAAGATATAAAACTTAGATAATGTTTTCATCTTAACTTTTTTTAAAAAACGAAAATAAATAATAATGATTACCCAATATCCAATGTTCGAATCCCTCTTTTTAACTTTTCATCCATATCAGCTGAAAAATTGCCTTGCCACACGTATTTTATTATACCTTGCATAAGGTCTGATCTACTTATCTCATTTTTGCCGCCTGGAAACGGATACTTAAATTCTTCAACCGAAAATTCCACATCGTTTATATCTTGATATTCATCCATTAGAATTTTTAGAGGATATATGCTCAAAGATTGTTTTAACTTTTAAAGTATGTACAAAAAATAAAATAAAAAAAACTTAAACTTAATTATATAATATGTATATAGAATAATATATAGATATAATTCACAATCTCGTATTACACTTAATATGTTGACACCAGTGTAAGGTTAACGTTCTATTTCTATCATTCCTGAAGTTACACACTCAATACATATTTAATACATGTGCTTATTCATTATGTTGATAAGCTATATCTATATGATTGTTTGGTTATAAAGAATTGGAATTTGTTTTGTACCCAATAATTGGGAAAGTTTGAAAACTTTACGGGTTAAACCATTTAATGACTGAAGTACTACATAAGGTATTTACTAGTAGCGTTATACAAAATTATTATTAATTTCACGTTACGCTTAAGTTCACGTAATATATATATATATATACAACCTTAAAAGTAAGTAACGGGGGTACCTAATAATACTGGCCAAACTTACAGACTTAAGATAGTATACTGTTACAGCTACACCCCGTTAATATTAACCTAAGCATAATTTTTACAAATTTTTATATATTAAAATTCCCACTTATATATCAACTTTAATATAATCCCTTGTTAATACAGCCAGACCTCTCTAAGTGCACGCCCCATGGGACCATGCTCCAATAACGTGCATATAGAGAATACTAAGAAAAAGTGCATTTATAGAGGTCAAGTATATATTTGGGCCAGCACTTGAACGTGCATTAGAGAGGAGAGGGTGTGCACTTATAGAGGGTGCACTTAGAGAGGTCTGACTGTATCACTATCAACATGAATTTAAACCAATTCAAAATGGGTTGATATAAATGAGGGTTACCTGGGACAACTAAACAAATTCCGATACCGGTTTGAATCGATAATTTGTCGGCTTCGACTAATATGGGGAATGGACTAAGAAAATCCCACTTTGATGGATAGTTTGATGCTTGTATTATACGAATTTTTATCAATTTATTTTAGAATCATTTCATCACATAAAATTTTGTGATTAATATTATTATTATTATGATAATCTCGAAATATCAATTCAAATTTAATTTGATTCGCTAATTTTCAATTTTTATCTATTTTTAGGGGACGTATCCATTCATATGTTTTTGCCTATTTAGTCAAAGTTAGGTAAGGATTAGCGTTAGTGGGTTATACTTCGAAATAGGTTTAGATTTCTACTTGAAAATTGCTAATTTTAACCGGGGTAAATCACAGGGATGCTGTATCTCTCAAAATGGACTAAGTAATTAAGGTCAGGTATTCCAAGTAAAAATGTTAGACCTCCGAAAACCTAACCTTAACCAAATTATGCTTAACTCTTCTCTTTGTCTCAACCTACACCCTAACCTTAAAAACATAAAGGCTCCGGTTAAATACAGAAATATAGTTAGGCCATGAAAAGTTTCTTGCATGAGACAAATAAATAGGATTGCCGGCCGGCAAAAAATGTTTTTTCATACAAAAATAAAAAAAATTTATATAGAAAAAATTTTCAACTTTTCTAAGTTACCCGAGCGGGTAACGAAAAACAATTTTATTTGTTTGCTTGGCCTTATTTTTTTTGTCTGTTTTTGTCTCTTCGGGCTGATCCGAATAGACGACTATATTAGCTCCATTGTCGCGTGATTGAATACGACTTTAGGCGTATCCACTTATTTCCGCGAGTAATGCAAACCTCTAAAAAGGAAATGGCTAATTTTGGGTATTTCGGATCAGCCCGACATAAAATCCGAGCATGTGAGGATGAAGAAAGCGAAAACTAATGTTTAAATCGATCTTGGTGGATTAATAAAAAATGACGGGATGAGATTTACATGTAACAAACACCAACTTATTGACATAGCCCCTACCCTATTTTACGCACTTAGTTTACAAAATTCGGCTTCCTTTTTTGGTTCGTGTTACTCGCGCAAATAAGTAAAATCCGGCGGTTAGAATATCGAATTTTTAAAACACTGTTTTTTCAAATCAAAAAATCTCAATAATTTACTAAATCATTGTAGAATAAAAAGCGTAATTCATATATATAAGAGCCAATACTTTAATTTAATTTGAAAATTATAAAATCGACCAAAAAGTGTTGACATGGGGTTTTAATAGTAAAATTAAGTTTAATAGGGATGCAATTATACATGCCGCACAAACTACAAATCTTTAAAATCCCACTCAAACCCAAATCCCATGTGGAAAAATCCCAAATCCCA